AAATAGGCTAGATGGCTTTTAGGTCCAAATCCCTTCCTTGAGAACACCTCAGCTCTGACCTTTGACAAAGCACACTGATCTAGGAAACCAGATACGTAGCCCTGGCTTCACTATTAACCCACAGGGCATCTCTGGGCAAATCACATCCCTCTCTGTTACATTCACCAAGCCTGGGAAATGAGGCCATAGGCCAGGCGATTAAGCACGCTTTCAGCTACGACTTTCCACTATAAACTCCCTCCACCTATTTCTTCAATGTAGTTATGTGTCCAGGGTGTTAAGAGCTGCAAGGGTCAGTGTGGTCCAACTAGTCAAAAGCACTCAGTTCACAGAAAAAAGAGGCTCTGGAAGGTTCAGCCACTTGCCCCAAATGACTGAGATTTAGATAGAGGCACGGCTAGGGCAGAAACCAGGTCTTTTCACCTCGCCACTCAACCTAATATTCGCTCACACAAGCACAGCACTTCACATCCCACTTAACCCTGAAACCCTCAGAAGACGTAATCACTACCGGCCCCATTTCGCAAAAGAAACCGAGCCCCACAAAGTTTCAAGGTCTTGACTAAGGCCACAGAGGGTCGGGGTCGGTGCTGGGCGGAGGAACAAGGTCCCTCCTGCTGGTCCTAGGGTCTCACCCTCGAGGAGGCGGCAACGGTGGTGGAAGACGTAGCAGGCCCCATCCTTGTACAGCGGCTGCTCGTGAATCGGGGTTGGGCGGCGGAACTTTGGGTGCGTCCAACCAGGGTCCCAGGGTGGGAAGACCGGCCGCGCCAGCCCGGGCATGAAGTGCATCTTCCCAGCGTAGGTGATGGGCTCCAGTCCAGGGATCTCGTACACCCTGTCCAGGGGAGGAGGCTCGGGCTTCCGCGTGGAGCGCACGCCCCACTCGTACGCCCCGCGTGTCGGGATCCCGCAGCCCCCAAGACCGAGCGGCCCAGGGCGAGCCAGTGCACGCCTCGCGGGCCCCGACGCCAACGCCATCCCGACTTAGTTTCCTCAAGACCTCCACCTGGACGCCGCCATATTCCCGCGCGCAAAGCCTGCTGGAAGCGAAAGGGGCGAGATGCCAAGGCTCGTTTTATGATTGGCATCCACTTCAACCAATAATGTTCAAGATGTCCCTGCCTTGCCCCACCCCTCAGACCACTTTTATTTTCTCATAGGTGAGACCCGCTAGGCACTTCCCGCCTCCCGGGAGAGGGCGGAACCTGGAGTAACCTCTCGAGGAGAGGCGCGGGTGTGTAGGTGAGTGGTTTTGGTAGAGGCTGGCATAGGACTAGGGGTAGAACACCAGTATTTCAAACCTGAATTTAAGGTAACCTTGACCGCTTACGGGCAGCTGACGCTTGGCAGGGCACTTTCCTCTGAGCCCCAATGTCCCTTACTGTAAAAATAGGGATCGAAATGCTTAAGGGCGCCCGCACAGCTCCCGCCCCTAGTGGGTGCGCTGGAAGTTTCCTTGCCTCACCACCCACTTCTCACTGCTGCTGCGCCTTCACCGGCGCCACTCGCTGAGCCTGAGAGTGGCCCTGTCCACTACACCAGCGCCGCATCCGACTGCACGTCCCTTCCCCGGCGTCAAGAGGGAGTTAGTTTCCTCCCGTTTCCTTGGGTCTGCCTCCTAGAAGCTAGCCCAGAGCTATGGAGATGTTCTTTGCTCCTTGCACCGACACCAGTTTATCAAATGCTTGCGGTGTTGGTCAAGCACTGTGGTGAGCGTTGGGTTTGCGTTGGTGAATAAAACAGCTATGGAATGAAGAGTTTATGGGCAGAAAGCAAGTAAAGTAAATAAGCGATTGCAACACGCATGTATATTTCCTATTTCTTTTCCCCAGTTATTTTTCTTTTTAGCATTTAACACTAAATACCGTGTTTTCCATTTGGGTCTTGTCTGATGACCTTCTCTTCCACTAGAATGTAAACTCCATGAGTGCAGCGGGTTTTGTTTCCTCACTGCTCTATCCCGTGCACCTAGAACAGCAGTAAATATGTGGTAAATGAATCAATACATAGTGGAAACAAATAGGGTATGTGACAGGCATGAGAAAGGGGAGGTTCAGGATGGGCCTCTGAGAGGAGGTGACCTTTAAGGAAGACCCAAAGGTCATCTCGCCAGAGGCAACAACAGGTGTCAAGGCCTGGCTTAAAGTTAATGCTTCTTAGAGTGGAAAGGTAGAGGTTAGGAGCAGGGAGGAACCAGATCTTTAAAGTTCACGGTGGACTTGGCCAACTTCTCTGCCGATTTCCAAAACATCAAAGAAGGTAGGGTAATTAAGACGCAGAGAAGGTAAGTTTAAGGCAAATACTGATAGAAATAACCCTCGTGCTGTATTGCAGTTTACAGTTAACAGAGCTTTTACTTATCTCAGTTATCTTGCAAAAACTTCGGGAGT